GGCCTTTGATATAACCCTTTAAAACTGTCTCCTTAGGGCGGCTACATACACACATATATAAGCAGCAGCAACAGATGCAGATGCAGCAGCAGCAACAGCAACACGTGCAGCAGCAACAGCAGCAACAATTATCGTAGAAGCAAACAGCACGAGACCCACGCTAGTAAAACAGAAAGAAGCAGAACAGTAACATCAAGAAAAGCTATAGAAAGAGAGCAGCAGCAACAGCAGCAGCAGCAGCAGCAGCAGCAGCAGCAGCAGTTGACGCACCGCAATATGAGGTCATTGAGCGCCTTGGAGTTGCTGTCGTTCTTCTGCAAAGTTCTGCAGCAGCAGCAACAGCAGCAGCAGCAGCAGCAGCAGCACTATCAGCAGAGGGTGCGTGCAGACGCAGCGCAGTACAAAAACAGCAGCAGCAACAGCAGCAGCTGCAGCAGCAGCAGCTGCAGCAGCAGCAGCAGCAGCAGCAGCAAAGAAGGCGCTTACTTCTCGAGGTCTGCGACCGTCGTTTTCCCTGCAGGTTGCGACATTTTCAGGAGACAATAAAGGGGCAGCTGCAGCAGCACAAGTCCACACACCAGGCTCATTGCAGCAGCAGCAGCAGCAGCAGCAGCAGCGAGAGCAGCAGCAGCAGCAGCAGCAGCAGCGGCGGCGGCGGCGAGGGAAACAGCGAAGCGACTGGGTTACACAGACTGGAGGGAAGTCATGCATGCATGCATATTCACGCTGCTTCAAGTCAAAGAGGACCGCAGCAGCAGCAGCAGCAGCAGCAGCAGCAGCAGCAGCGGCAGCGGCTGGTCGTTCGAGAGCAGCAGCAGCAGCAGCAACAGTGCATGTATATACGACTTGCATGCGAATGGATTTGACATAAAAAGATGAAAAAGACAGTAGAAGGTCAATAAGGAAAGGAGAAGCCCCCGCAGCAGCAGGCGTGAGCAGCAGCAGCAGCAGCAGCAGCAGCGGAAAAAGCAGCAGCAGCAGCAGCAGCAGCAGCAAAGACAGAGAATACCCACTTGTTTTATGAAGTGTATACTGACAAACTAAACAAATACATAAACTTATGGAGCCAACAGCAGCAACAAACACACGGTTCGGTTACCTGCTGCTGCTGCAGGCTTGGGCTCACGCCTGCAGCAGCAGCAGCAGCAGCAGCAGCAGCAGCAGCAGCAGCAGCAGCAGCGGCGGCAACAGCAAGGTTACTGGGGTCTTTTTCTTACTTTTCTTTATCTTCTGCTCTTTTTTAACTTGAAATGTTTGCTTTTTGTTATTTTTTTTTATATACGTCAGCAGCACCCGCAGCAGCACCGCCTGCTGCTGCAGCAGCTCGCAGCAACAACTGCAGCAGCTACAGCTTGCAGAGTTTATAAGTTTATGTTTTTGTAGATGTGTGTTGTTGTTTATGTTTTTTATATAGTTTTGTTTATGTGTGTTGCTGTGTATGTGTGTTGTTTATATGCGGCATAGTTTATGTATATTGATCCTAGTGTATGTGTGTTGCTGGTCTTTTGTTTTTTTTTTTTTATTTTTTTTTATGTTGCTGTTTATCTTTTTCTTTAGCTGCAGCCTGCTGAGTGGTTCCCCCCCGCAGGAAGAAAAAAAGAAGCAGCAGAGCTCAGCTGTACACAACAAAAACCTCTATTCTTATTCGATGTTTGC